TGTATTTTACTTCATCCTCAAAGGCAACAGATTTAATAATCAGAGCATGCTTTGTTCCGTCTGAAACGATTTCGAATCTTTCATCAGGAGTGATCTCTTCTGTTCCTTTCAACCAGCGGAAAGTCTTGGGTTCTCTGGATACCTCACATTCAAACTTAGCTTCATCCTTCTCAAAGACCTTCACATCACTTAGTGGAGTGATAAAGATAAGGGGCAGTTCTGAAATCAAAGAAGAGCTCTTTCAGATCAGTTCATACAGTGCTTTCTGACACTAGATTTGTTCTGATGCCCTGAATAACACATGGAAATGTTGTCCAAGTGCAGACTGTACCTTTCACTTTCAGATTAGCAGCACTTTTAGCATTGGCAGCTTGGAAAGACACTTCTCCAGTCATATCAAGTTTGCAGTTATGAAGGACAAGAATATGCTTCTTCCCATCTTCAATGATTTCACAGTCCTGGTGATAAAGAAACACACACCCAGATATTAATATTCTAAGAAACCACTAAGAAAACACAATTATTAATCATGTTTTTCTACTGGAAATGATCGTCTAAAAATAAAGAAGAATCCTTACAGGTGAAGGTGTTAGGGTTTCTCCCTTTAGCTTCCATACAGGATGGACATCAGGCTCAGATATTTCAATTTCAAAGCGTGCTGTTTCACCAACAAATACTTCCACTCCATACAGTGGGCGCTCCACTTTAATTAAGCGAGCTAAAAAAAATAAAAAAATCTAAAGTTTGCATCTGTTTACTCTTAAATTGTATACCACAAAAATGTAATAGTGGAAAGCATCTAAAGTCTCTCCCTTTTCCTTCTTTTGAGCATTCAAATGCTACAACCAGTAAGTGTTTATCTAACCTCTTCCTAAAACTCAACAAGTTGGCAGTCTACAGCCTTATTCTATGTCTGAAAATTTAGTTATTTTTGGTGAGAATATATTTCCTAATAATTAACCCAGAGATTTAGTTACAGTGAACTAAACTATTTTTATTTCCTGATGGCAATTGGACAGAGAGAGTAACTCTCTCTAGTAATCATCAAACATATGGTCTCTTGTATGGTCTCTTGTATGGTCTCTCACTGTTTATAACTTTAAATCTAGATATTTCAGCCATTCATCATAACAGCATCTTTTCCACAGGTACATTTTTGGTCTTGCTTTCTGGAGAGTGTCTTTCTGTCTGTCTACACTGGTTTACAAAGGTTTTGCTCCTTTCCCTTAGCGAAGACACAATTACTTACACTCCACACTGATATTGGCACTTGTCTTGTCGGTTCCACAGTCACACTCATAAACCCCTTTGTCACTCTCTGCAGCCTTCTTGATCTTCAGGATACGGCGCAAGCCTTCCGTTTTTATGGAAATTCTGTTGGAAGCTATTAGTTCTTCACCATCTTTGTACCATTTTACTGGCACATCTTTGCTAAGTTCACACTCCAGAGTAATATCATCTTTCTCTACAGCACTGTAGTCTTGTAATTTCACAGTGAAATATGGATCGGCCTCTATAAAAGCCATAGTGGATAAGATAAATTAGTTATACAAATGTACTAAAATGTCAATATTTTGTCACTTTCTACTTATAAAAATAGTTAATATTTATTCTATAGCAGATTTTAAATTATTTATGTAATTACCTAAGACTTTCAGGTTGGCTTGTGTGTTCAAGTCCTTGACTACGGCCTTAATTTCTGAGATATCATCAAGTGTTACTTCTCTCATTTCTAGTTTATGAACTTTGCCTTCTGAAGTAATTAAAACTGTTCTGCTTGTGTGAAGTCTCTTGTCATTTTTGAACCATTTCACAGGCATGTCCTCATGAGAAAGTTCAAACTGAAAGTGAGCTGTTTCCCCCTCTTTCACTGTTTGGTCCTGTAGAGGTGATATGAACTTCAGCCTCACACCTGCAATGTAGACACATAAATACAATCAGTAAAAAGGCTAATGTAGTCCTGAAATATACTTTCTTTATCCTTTTTTTTGTTCTTTTGTTCATGAGAAAACACTTGCCTTCCACAAACAGTCTTGCTGTGCTCTTTTTGCCATCAACTTCAGCAGTGTATTCTCCCTCATCATCAAACTGTGAATCATTGATAACAAGAATGTGCTTCTTTCCATCCGCAATGATGTCAAATTTTTCTCCAACCTTGATTATATCAGTGCCCTTAGACCATATAACATTGGCCTCTCTGGTAAGGACACATTCAAATCTTGCTTGGCGCTTCTCAGGAACAGTGACGTCTTTCAGGGGCACAGCAAAGTCCAGTTCGATTTCTGGAAGCAAAAGATAACACACCATTTGTAACGAGCTCCATGTGAACTCTGTCTAAGCTGGTGTCACGCCCCGTGGGACACGGTACCTTTGACTGTCAGGATGGCTGTAGTGACAGCGTTCAGGGCCTGGTAAAGGACTTCGCCAGCTTGCTCTAACTTGACTTTGTGTAAGGTTAGGAAGCGTTTTCCTCCCTCGGCTTTGATTTCACATGTCTGGAGAGGTGACAGACTTTGTTAAATACAAATACCAACGTAATGCAAATGCCTTGCTGCTAGGAGTTTTTAATAAAGGGATTTTCCTAAACATTGTATACATGGTGAAGTGTCAGGTAGAAAGAATGAAATTGCTCTTCAAGTAAAGTTAACACTTTGACTCAATAATTAAAATAGGGAGTACATTTCTTCAGCATTCCACAGAATTCTTCAGAATGTCAGAATCATTCCCACAATGTACGTAGGATATTTCTATTATTGCTTGAATTATGTGTTGTAATACTTTAAGAAAATTAAGGCCCTCAAAACTTAGCTTTTATAAAATATAATCCTTACTTAGATAATCAGTTTTTTTAATAATATATTCTGGACTGAGTAGCAATGACACATCTTAACATAAAAATTCAAGGAACCTGTTCACAGTATTTAATTTAAATAAATTGTGTTTTAAAATTCAAGGATGCTTACAGGTGAAGGTCTCAGGACTTCTCCTTTCAGCTTCCATTCACCAGGAATATCATCTTCAGATATTTCTGTGTCAAAGTTTGCTGTTTCCTTCTCATAAACTGTAACATCCTCTAATGGCTTCAGAAGCTCAACTTCACGTTCTACAATGCACAAATAAACACATATATGATTAGATCAAGTTTTGATAGAGCTTTATAATAATTCAGCTTTATAATAATTTGTTTATTTCGATGTTTTTCAACACTGGCCTACAAGATGATTCAATATAATCCAAATAAAAGCTTCCTTACCACCAAGGGTCAGTTTGGCTGGGTATCTGCGACCTTCAACTTCCACTGCATATTCTCCGATATCAGCAGGACCAGCATTCTTGATTTTCAGGAAAATTTTATTTCCTTCTTTCAAGATTTCTGTCTTGTCAGTGGGTTCAGCAGGGATTTCCTCATCTCCTTTGAACCATTTAATGTTTGGTGTATCCTTGACAATGTCACAGCTGAAAGTAGCTGTTCCTTTTGGTTTAACATGCTGGTCTCTTATGGGTTTCACTAACCAGTCCCTTATAACTTCTGCATGACAAAAAGTTACACAAGAAAACAGCTTAGCAGACTTCTATTAGAAATAGATGTGTCAAAAAAGAAGAAGAAGAATGAAGAGATTTTGTAGGACAACAAGTTTTAATATCTGTAAAAATCTTATCTGTACTGTAAGACAATGAGAAAAGGTTTTCATAATTTTAAAGCAGTCCAAATATCCTAGAGAGAAAAAAGAACATGATTTTTATTACTTACCTACTACCTTAACACAAGATGAGCATGATAGTTCAGAGTCTTCCACAGTAACAGTGTAAGTGCCAGCATCAGCATCATCTGAATCAGTGATTGTGAGGGAATGTGACAAACCAATAACACCCAGAGCAAATTTCCCAGGCTTGGCTTTGATGATTTTACCATCCTTTCTCCAGACCACATTTCTTTCTTTGTTAAGCTCACACGTTAAGTACAGTGGCTGGGTTTTAATGACAGTCACTTCTTCTTCAAGGGTTTTCACAAACCGCACTGGGAGTTCTGTGGGGAACAAATTGTTTTGATTTGTCTCCTTTATACACAGAACATGTGATGCAGAAATACCTTATATAATATGTGTAGTGATTGAGGGAAACAAAAGGATGCATCTACCAACTACTGTAAAATTACAAAGCAGCAGTTCTAGTTTGAGGAGTGGCTAGCCTATTAACAATTTGAAGAGGAAATACCTTCAACAATAAGTTTGGCTGTAGAGGTCTTCTCTTTGTTCCCCAGTTTCAATACACAAGTATATTCACCAGCATCAGACAGCTGGACATCAATAATATGCAGCTTCCTATCTTTGCCATCAGCAATAAACTTGTGTTTTGGGCTCTCTCGGATGTTACTTCCATCCTTCATCCAGCTGGTAATTGCAGTGGATGGTGAAATAAGGACTTCAAAGATTGCAGAAGACCCAACAGACTCAGCTTCTTTTAGCACTATATCTTTCATCTCCTTGACAAACTTCAGTGGTACAGCCTTGAGTTGGTAAGTAAATGGAGGCTCTTCAGGAGGTTTTTCACCACCGCTGCCTGGCCTGAGTTTCCTTCTTTCTGCGTCTGCTGGTGAAGGTGTCTTCTTGGCTGTAATTCAGATTCAGAAATTAATAAACAAATCCTGATCAATTGCTTTTGATTGTAGGCTGTGCTGATTTTGGCTGGGGGAAATTTAACAGTCTTCTAAGTAGCTAGTATGGGGCTATGTTTTGGATTTGTGTTGAAAGCAGTCTTAATAATACAGAGATATTTTTGTGATTGTTGAGAGGCTCTTGCAAAGCCAAGGCCTTTTCTGCTTCTCATACAGCCCGACCACTAAGAAGGCTGGGAGTTCACAAGAAATTGGTAAGGGATACAGCCAGGAAAGCTGATCCCAACTAACCAGAGTGATATCCTACACCATACGGTGTTATGCTCAGTATATAAAGCAGGGAAAGAAGAAGGGGGGGGAGGAGGGGAGCATTCAGAGTTATGACATTTGCCCTTCAAGGGATGGAAGGGCATCCTGCTATCCTGCATATGGGTGAACACATCCCTGCTCATGGGAAGTGGTGAGTTCCTTATCTTGCTTTGTTTTTATGCTCTGCTTTTGCTCAACCCGTGAGTTTTCTCACTTATACCCTTCTTATTCTTTCCTCCTTCCCACCATAATGCAGTGAGTGAATGAGTTGCTGTTTGGGGCCTGATTGCCAGCTGGAGTTAGACCATGACAAGGTATTGCTTGTAATATCCTACCTTTGACTGGACTGATACCCTTCGGAGATTCTTCTTTTGGTGGCTTGGCCTCTGAAGTAGAACAGCAAGATTATTAGAAATGTAGTTAAATAAACATACTTACTAAAACTAAGACAAGTATTTATTTTATATATCAGATTTTTTCTTCTTTTAGCTACCTACATGTAAAAGGGGAGGAAGGGATATAAACATATCTCTATTTTTATAGAACATATACTGTCTACATCTCAACAGTAAATTCAATATCCTGAAGTATGGGAATGACCTATTCAGCAGTAGAGCCTAAGAGGCAGCTTAAAAGCTCCTATTTCCTTATTGTGGTGTCCTGCCCATTAATTCATAATATTCTGTCATTCCTTGAAAAAATAGTTTAAGTGCCTATTGAAATTATATGAGATTGTCTTTTTTTTTTTTAAAAACCCACACACTTTTACTAATGAACACCACAAAAATATAAGCTGTGTGAATTAAATATATGTTTCAGGACTATAAGTCACTTTTATAAGTGAGGGATGTCCTGTTAGTAATCTAATTTGCAATGAATCATCACAGACTTTTGAAAATATTACCTGTGCTACAAGGCCTCTTGTTACCTTTTTGTGAAGGGAAATATGAAAGATACTTTTAATGGGAGGATGATATGAATGAAATGCAGGACAGATTTTGTTGTAGTGGATGGAAAAATGAACACTAGAAAAAAAGTGTGAGTTTTCCTGAGAAGACAATGGCACACAGAACAATTCATGAAAGTCTCAGAAAAGTATAAGACTAAGACAATGAACAGTGATCACACAGCTGAGTGTACAGACAGGTAAGACAAACATATGAAGAGTGGTTGAATGCCAATAAAGCCAGCTGACAGACTTGATGGAATTGCGAATGGTGTTACTAAAACACAATGGTAGGTGGCACTCTCCTGAAGCAAATGGTACAAGCACTTCGTGGAAGAATTTGGCATCGGTCTTCCTCACCTCGCTTTGCATGAGACTTTGCTGGAACATCCAGAACTTCACGTGATTCTCCAGGTGCACCCAAATTCTTATTTTCACTTGCCAGTCTAGTGGCCTGCTCAGTCAGGTGAGCAGGTTCTGATTTCTGGTATTCTCTCTCTCCTTCTGCTTTCTTTGAAGTTATTACCTTACCTATGTTTGAGGAATAAGTATCTTCTCCATCTGCAAGGATCCCTTTGCTTGATGACACTTTGTCTATGAGCTTTCCCTTCTCTTTTTTCATGGTACCAGGTGTGCTTTTTCCAGTGTCATATTCAGGTGATACTTTTTCATCTGATATACCTTCTGTCGATTTTTTTTCTTCAATTTTACCTTTTCTGCTTTTGTTAGCCAGAGTTTCTTTATGTTCATCCTGGATGGTATGAACTTCTTGAATTTCTTTTTCATCTTGACTTTGTGGCTGAATAGCAACTTCCTTTACTGGTTCAGATATCATTCCCTTTTCATGTTCTCCTGCGGAAACTTCACTTTCCATTCCTCCTGTAATCACTGTATCAAATTCTTTTTCCACAGGCAGACTTTCAGGGGCTTTTGACTGCATAATTTTGCCTTTTTTTAAGTGGGTGATGAAGGTAGTTTTTTCTTCTTTCTTTGGTAAAATCTTCTTGCCTGTCTTTTTATCACTTAGGAGTGCTTTCTCAGTCAACAATTGTCCTAAACCCTCCTCATAATGAGCTGTTTTCTCTGTAGAGTATTTTTCTCTTGCTTTCATTTCTACTACTTCTGACTTAAGAACAGATGGTTTAAAGATTGTGTGAAGTTTTTCTCCAGGAACCTCTTCATCTTCAGTGGGGTGTTCTAGGTCAAAATCTTTTCTTAATCCTGGCTGAGCCTCCTCTAAGGAATGTACTTCTGCTGATGTAAAATCCAGATTCTTATCTTTCTCATCATCTTTAATATCTTCCATTTCCTTTGCTTCTTTGTTAAGAATCTTGTCTATAGGAATTTCAGGTACTGTGCTATCAGATTGCTTCAGCCTCTCAATTTTACTTTGTATGCCATGTCCCTTCACGGATTCTCCAAGAGGAACTTCATATTTCTCTGGAGGAAAACCTCCTCTCTCATTTTCATTTCTAAGCTGAGGAGTTTCACCTATGTCTGCCTCTATGATATCCTGTACAAATGAAGTTTTATCCTTAATGTGAAATTTTTCAGGTTGCAAACTTTTTTGTGATTTTTTCTCTTTTCCTATAAATCCTTTCTGGTCCCTGGGCTGATCTGGCTTTCTGGGTTTAGGTACACAAGTTGATTCAATTTCTTCTTTTTTGTGGCTGGGAATCTTTCCTTCATGAAGAACACTAAACTTGTCAGAGACCTTCCCTATGGCATCTTCCCTACGACCAAGCAATTTAATTTCATCCTCCTTTTCTTCTCCAGAATCTCTTTCCACATGTTCAGATGTTACAGAAATCAATTCCACTTCCTCATCAGTTGGTGGTAGTTCCTCCTTTGTGTAAGCAATGTGATCCATTTCAACTTTTAATTTCTCACCTGTAAGGGGAGTCTTTCCTGAAACTACAGGTGTCATTTTTGGTTCCTCTTCTTCAGAAGCCAGGACAAAATATTTAAGAGATACTTTCTCCTGGTCATCTGTTTCTGAATTCAGTATTTCACCAGCTGTTTCCAGTGAGATTTTATATTCAAGTGGCTCTATGGCCGGAACTGTCTCCTTAGGACTTACTTTCTCTTTTACATGAAAGCTTTTTTCAACTGAAATCTTCTTCAACACAATTGACTCAGGCATTTCTTCTTCTACTGAGGGCATTTTATCTCTTTGTTTTTGTACAGATGGTGCATCAGGCTTTTCTGCAGCTACAAAGGTTTCATAGGTAATTTAGAGAGTAAAAATCCATAAGAATAAGAATCAGGAACACTATATTTAAGACAAATTTTACAGCTATACCTGAAATAAAATGAACAAAGAACACTTTTTCTCTACACAACAGAAACTTAAAACACAACCACAAAAGAAAGGTAAGAACAGCACACATGAACAGAAAACCTAAGTAAACCACTCTTAGTAATGTCTCATTAGACCACCAGTTTAAATCCAGTGTAGGTTAAAAGTAGCAGAAAATGACACCTATCTGGCCACTGACACAAAACAGGTTAATTGTGCCACTGCAGACTACATCACCAGATCAATGGCCAAGAGACTTTAATGATCTGGTTTCTCAAATACCCAAGATCTGAGCTCTGCTGCAACATGAAGCCCTTTGAATAGTGGGCGAGCAGAATGGACATCAGCTCTGCTGGTGGAGCACAGGCTTAGAGTGTTTCAGAGGAAATGGAACCATCCCATCCAGCTCTTTTCTTTTTTTTTTTTTTCACAGCAGGCTTTGTTCCAGGGTCCCATGCATAGCAGATGGAAGTAGCAATACTCTAATTCTTCAACATCACTGTCAGTTTTTCTCAGGGCTTCAATAACAAATCAAAAGCAGGAAACCAAACAACACAACAATTATTTAGAAATGTGTAACTTCTCTTTGTCTACAGAGAAAATACAAGATGCCATAACATATATGCCATTCACATAACATATATCAGGACGTGAGGAACATCAAGAAAACAACAGAATACACAAATTTCATAGTATGACAACAAATAAAGACACACATTACCATCCAGACAAAAGAGCAGAGACTGGTCTCCATATATATACTAATATCAGAGATGTTTTTGTTTTAAATTAGGTGACAGTATGTACAATAACAAGATCCTTGAATAGGACTTCAAATATACCTGTAATGAATGAGTTATTGTACAGCTCTTCCCTCTTTTTATACTTTTTATTTAGGTATGTCAGAGAAAAACCTTCTAAATAGCACAGAATACATATAAATACCTGCTTTCTTTCCAACAACTGGAGCTGTCACTGGAGCAGTAACAGTGGGTTCTTCAGCTGGTTTTGGAGATTTTACAGCTGCATGGGAGAAAAAAGTTTTAATACATTACTTTAAGTATGACATCACTTAAAATGTTTTGTAGATGGTAGGAAAGTTCTAGTCTTCTTAATTCTAAAGGCCTTTGTGTGGACACTTTTAAAGTTCTGCTGCACAAGGTGCTGAGTTATGTAGTCAAAGCTGTGCTTTTGCCAAGAAAGGTTGGACCAGATTACCCCTGAAGTCACCTTCCAACCTGGTATTCTATGATTCTGTGAATGTCCTTTTAGCAAGAAATCCCTGAATGGAAAATTCTAGACACACAAGAAAGGCTTCACCAGTATTCACAACTAAAGAATTCTTACCTACTACAGGTTTAGGTTCAGGCCCAGGAACTGGGACAGAGGCTTGCTTAGTTTCTGCCATTTCAAACACAGAAATTACAAGTAGGTTAGTTTACATTTTTTTTGCAAACACATTGAGCATTAGAAGTTAGGATAAACAACACAGAGAGAGCTAAATGAATACAGAATTTACTGGTTTCTATTTTATTTTGCCAAAAAGCAAGAAATTACCTTGAGATTAACTCTTAAGCAAGATTGCAAACAATGGAAAAAAGATGACTTTTTCAAGCATTGAAGAATAAAGACAACAAGAAATCCAGAAGACTGCAAATGGTTAATGAGGACACAGCAGTCATGACAGACTGAAGGACAGTAATGCATTATGTTAATATAGCATGACATTCAGCACTGAATATTGTTTAGTTGCTGCAATAAGGAAAAAGAGCACCACACATCTGTACCTTTTGGTAGTTCAGGCACAGGTTTCTCCTCTTTTTTTATGGCAGGTATCTCAGTTTTCTTCTTAGGAACTTCTGGGACTTTAAAATAATATTTTTATTTTGTAAGATATATTAAAACATCTTAAATCCCTAAACAGAATACCCTCAAGTGCATTTAAAAGCTTTCATTATTTTTACACATAAACAGTTTCAGATGTTCATAAGGTTTAGCAACATATATTACTCAGAGTAAGATTTGAATAAATTAGAAACTATAAACGGCTAAAAGGGTACATATTTGTAAAAGGTTACCTAAAAGAATGCTTGGATTAATCCTTGTTTTGCTGTAGTTCTATCAGTGCCATATAAAATATGGCTTTTATCAGTGTCATATAAAATATTTGTAAAGTTCTTTTCTGTACACAATGAAGATTGAGAAACAATCCCAAAATACAGAATTCAGACCCAAATGTGAATGCCAAACTTGGCTGGGCATCCAGGCAAGACTTAAAGTGCACAATTAGGCCAATGCAAGTTATCAGACACCAGACATCAGCAAGACACCAGTTTCATTCCTGAACTTAAGAAAACACTATTTAATAGTGAGATTAAAATAATATATATTTTAATAAATATATTTGATAGTCATCTAGTACCTTCAGGTTTCTTAATTTTTTCTATTGGTGTAGGTACTGGTTTAACTTCTGGTTTAGGCTCTTTTTCTGGTTTAGGTTCTTCCTCTTCAGGTTTCTTTTTAAGAACTTCAAAAGAAAAGACATCTCAGTTTTTAAGGCACAGGCAAACAAAAGGATAAGACAGTGAACAAGACAAAGATTAAAAACATCAATCATAAAAAACCCAGAAAATAAAATATATAGCTCAATAGAAATGGAAGATTTGTGCAACTATTCAAGATATTATTCTGAAAGTAATTTAAAATTCAAGTCATCCAAGGAAAAAAGATATTTTTATTAAGAGCAGTCCATTTGTGAGAAAAGATTTTAAAGTTTGTTTTAAATGTAATTTTAATGTAACTCCTCAAGTATTGTATTTGGATAGCTCAAATTTATATAATGTCTGTTTTCCATTTTATTGATTTCATTTGATTTTGTCCTTTCAGTCCTCTGTCTTGGGTATGTAATGACACTCTCATCTGAAAAATTGAATATTTTATTATGTTGTCTGAAATTTGAAGGTACAAGGTACACAAGCATGAATCATCCCTCTGTGGTATTTCAAAGAGAATTGGAATGAATGCTTCATTTTTCTAAGCAACGGTTGAGCACAAAATGATTCAGAATGCCCCAGACTTTGCAGGGAATGGGACTGATGTCCAATGGTTCCATGGGGTTCTGTGATGTGTGTGGTACTTCTAAGAAAACCACAAAAGAGAAAACACAGACTACACATGTAACTTTAATAACTTTACACTGTGGGCAGTGGAAGACTCTCAATTCTAGTATTAAGAGATAAAGAAAACATGACAGAGAGAGACAGGGAACTAGATTTTCATTGTTTTGCTCTGATTTCATTACAGATCCTTTGCATCTGAGAGACTTTCAGGCTATCCCTTCCTCCCTGCAACTACAACTGCTTTTCCCAAGAAACAAACATTAGATAGATTTATGCTGATCATAAATGCTGGGTTTTTAAAAACAGAGCCAAGTTACTATACCTCTTTTCAAAACAACTTCTTCTTTTGGTGGGGGAGTAGGCTCAGGAATTACTTTGCGAGGTTTCTTTACAAGTCCAGGCACTTAAAAGAATATTATTCCAGATTTTATCATAGGTTCATAACAGCAGTAAGAGTAAACCAACAACTAACATGTCCAAACACACAAATCAAATACTAGTCCACTATTGAATATTAAAATCAAAGGTTAAACTATTGCTATTGAAGCCAACAGTTTTAATATATTTTCTATATAATTTGCATACAGCTGTCATCTAAGCTTATGTATAAAGACAAAGTTTTCATACAAATCAACAGAAGAGAAATATGGTTTGAGAAAACTATAAAGGTTGTGTATTCAAGAACAATCATCATCATAACATTTTTATTTCCTTGTCTTCTTTCTCTGCAGGCTTCTGTTACATATCTATTCATAAGAGCTGTCTGCCTGTGATATTCATAAGGATTCACTTTAATCTCCAAATTGGAACAGCATTAAGAAGGAATGCCCACTGCTTAGCTTATCTTAAACTCCAGTACATATGAATACTATAAAGCCATAACCTGTGAAGTGGATTGCTCAATACATTATTCATTCCCTTCTCTAGAAAGTGTCGTCACAAAAGTAAGTTAAATTTCAGAAAAATAAACTAAGTATGTTGCAACAATGGTGCATACATTTCAATAGTATTTTATTTTTTATTTCTAGCTAAGCAGAAAACCAAACTGAGCATCTACTCATAAAAATTGTCTAACTTTTACTTTACTGTGTTTCTGTCTCTTACATCTCATGGATTGCATGATGTATGATTAAAGTGGACATAAATACAACACAAACATATATGCCCAAGATAGGGGTGCATGTTGAGCATAATCTAACATAGACAGTGTTTTTGACATATTTGAGCAAATTAAACAAGAAGATACTGAGAACTACTTGGGACTGAGAACTTGATACTGAGAACTTTGGGATCATGAGAGGTTTACTTTAAGCTAGATTCTTATATCGGCTAGGTACCTTTAGCAGGTGGAGGTTCCAGTTTCGGAGGCTCACCAGGTTTTGCAGCCACAGCTTTCTTCCTTGCCTCAGGAGCTTTAAAGAAAATTATTTGAATTTTACAACACATATTAGTCTCAAAAAAGAAAGGAGTTTTCTAAAAAATCTGAGCATCACATTAATAGTATTGATAGTAAAAGAAGAACAAAAGCTGCAAAGCTAAGATCCTTGCTGATTAACTGCTTAGAAAAAGTCAGATGGTCTGTAGGAAGCACAATTGATCTGAAACCCGTGATCATATAACACCAGCAAATTATTGCTGGGGATTCTTTTCATTTGTAAGAATATGTTAAAGAGAGAAGAGTTATTGTTAAGGATAGAAGAATGTGTTAACTTGATTAAAATGGTTTTAATCATTTTTTTCCTGTAATTATTGAAAAGAACCCATGTAAACTCTGATAAAAAATCATGATGGACTGAGCATTAGTGAGGCGCACCATTAAAATATAGTTTATTAGAAAAGAAATAAAAAAGACACAAAATTATAGCCTAAAAGCATGCTTTTCAAGGTTCATCAGTATAATTTTAAAAGATTGTGTTTCCACCATTATTTATGACTTCAGATGATTATACCTTTAAGTAGATCTTTTGCCAGTTTAATATCTTCTGTTGGAGCAGGTGGTGGTGGTGGTTTTCGCTTTTCAGGAATCTTCTTTTCAGGTTGCGGCACTTTAAATAACATTAGGTAGATTTAGAAAAAATTTCCTATGATGGTGGTTATGAGAAGAGTAATGTACAAACCTAATGACCACCATTTTCCATTTCCAGTGAAGCCAGTGAAAAAATGTCATTGAATTAAATGGGAGCATGAAAGAGCCTTAGGTTACTGCTCCAAGGCATGCACACAATGCAAATATCCAAGTTGACTTTAAAAAGCATGTTAATAACATGAGAACAAAAGTAGAAAACCAAATGATGGGAAGACAAGACTCTTGTGGACAAGAAACAAAATGAAAGTATTTTAAATAATCTTCAGGTTGTACTTGGAGTTAAATGATCAGAAATATTTTCCAGAACACAAGAATGGAAGAATTACAGAAAGACCTACAATGTAGGGGTGACCTACAAGACACAGGCACATGTGTGAAAAATGAGAGAGCAAGAGTAATCTGCACATGATGATGATGATGATGATGAAAGAAAGGTGTGCAGCAGCCTCTAGGGAAGTACTTTGTATACCTTCAACTGGTAAAGCTTCTTCAACTTCTACAACTGGAATTTCTTCTGCTTCTTCGGGCTCAATCTCCTTTATGATTTCATATTCTTTAAAGAATATTGACAACTGGTGTAAGTTTTCAATTATAAGATTGTTTCACATGAACAGTTATACAGATATAACTAAAAGCAGATCTACTTCAACAGACACAGACAAATACATGTTAGGATAAGTAATCATTCAGTGTCTGTTACCTCTGCTAGCTAATGCAAGATTTTGAAAACCACTTTCTTTCTAAGCATAAGTGAAGATTGTGTGAAGGACAGAATTTTTTATGTATACAATATAAACTAAACATTAAATTTGTGGATGACAGGAAAAGAATAAAAATGACAATGTTTTAATTAATTCAAGATTATAACAGCAACATAAATACTAACTTTTGAGAAATTCCAATTTAGTGAGAATTTAATATTATCTTAAAAAGAGACATATCCTGTGAAGGACCATGTATTTTACTTCCAAATATGAAGATATACTAACAGATACATGAAATATAACTATTGAATAGTATAATATAAAATATGAAGTGAACAACTTACAATCATCACAATGGGAGACAAAAGAAAATGTCTACTTTAAAGCTTATACTCAGAAGAACAGGACAAAGGATTGTTCTGAGAGTAAAATCTATGGTAGCACAAACCTTCACTTGGAAGTGATTCAGGTATTTTAGGAATAGCAACAGGTACTTTCTCCTCTGAGACAGGTTTCTTCGGTACCTCAGACACTTAAAAAAAATTAAGTTTCTTTTATTTTTTTGTGCATAAATGTCCATATGAAACATAAAAAGACAAAGACATCTAGCACACACAAAATGACAGTAACAGTGGTCATAACCATGAATGACTGTGCTCCAGTCTTTCCCAAGGTAGACTACATCCAACTGACAAATTTTATAGACTCAGTCACGAATAAAGAAAAGAGAGAGTATAGAAAATATTCATTCTCAGGAGGTGCCTCCTGGCAATATGTACCTTTGGCTGGAGGAAGCTCTGCTTTTTCTAATTGTGACTTTTTAGGTGTTGTAAGAGGCACTTTCTCTTCTGGGACAGGTCTCTCTTGCACTTCAGTTTCTTTAAAGATATTAGTAAATTTTCATTTTTTTAATATTAAGACACATGTATACAAATAACAGTGAAAATTGCAATGACTAAAAAGAGGAGGGCATAAAAAACACGAAGAATAATAAATTTAAGCAGCAGATTGAATAATCTGGCAATGTATACATCAGTGAGACAAGGGGAAAGGTATTCAGAGAAGAGAGATAAGGAGATCCTCAGTCACTGATGTATGTACCTTTAACTGAAGGAACTTTAGGTTTTCTTAGGACAGGCACCGGTTCTGGTACTTTTGGCACAGCAACAGGCTCTGGTTTCTTGCGTATAGCCACAGGTTTCTTGGGCACAGCCACAGGTTTCTCTGGCACAGCCACAGGTTTCTTGGGCACAGCCACAGGCTTTTGAGGAAGAACCTGTGGCGCCTCCTCTTCTGCCTCTTCTTCCTCAATCACCTCAGGGACTTTAAAGATATTAGATCTGTTTACTTGACTGAGCATAATGTTATGCACACAGACAAAATGACAAAATGCCCTCCCCACAGAGTGCAGGGGGCAAAGAACACTGAGCACTGCAGCAATGGCAGGGCATGGCAGGCTCTGGCAGGACAGCACCCTATACCTTCAGCTGGAGAGACTTCTGGCTCTCCAGGCTCAGCCACTGCCACCTCTTCTTCTGCTTCCTCCTCTTCCTCCTCTTCCAGGACCTCAGCTTCAGGCATCTCAGGCACTTCAAAGATATTAGTGCATTTCATTTTACATACTTGAGAAGACATGGCAAGGAGGAACAGCAACCAGGCTGACACAGACACACAACACCACAGCAGGCAGCTCAAACCCTCACACACCACGCAGCAGCACCCTTGTCCTGCACACACAGCCTTGACAGTCTCAGCCACGGAACACAGACAGGACAAGGCTTAGGAGAAGAGGATTCACTATGTTCTTTGTTAAGTTATCCATGAAGACAGGTACCTCTGGGTGCTGGAAGCTCTGGTGCTTTGGCAGAGGGCACAGGTAGTTTTTCCTCACGAGCAGCCTTCCGGGGCACCTCGGGTGCTTCAAAGATATTAGTAGCAGTCAGTTTTGTACGTACAAGAGGAGGATGCACAGTGACATGGAGACTGGGCACGCACTCATGAACGGAACCAAAGTGGGCTCACAGCATCAATCTCACTGGCTCAAACACACACAAATCCCCACAGGGCAGAGGCACAGAGTAGTGATGCCATTTAGGTTCTGAGAGAGAACTGCTGGCTATGCATAGGCTAGAGGGTGAGGTGTGAATTAGGATACTTAGCAGCCTTTCCTCTCTTGGAGGAGAGCCTTTCATTGTCAGCCCTGCTGGGATCTATCTTTTCTCTGGGAGTTACCTCAGCCCATGTCTTATTTGTTACCATTCCTCATGAATCTGCTGGTGCTTTACAATCAGCAGTTTGGCCACAGACTGGATGAGGAACTCCGTTTTTCTCATTTTTCCCTATTTTTGTCCTTCTGCATATTCATTTTTTGCTTATGCTTTTCTCTCTCCTTTTTTTTTTTTTTGGACTGGTTTTCTTATCCCAAGTACCTATCTTGCTTCAATTTTCATTTCACTGTGGCAACTTCCACAGCCTGTACATTGCAATGGATTTTATAATGATTCTTTTTTATTATAAACCCTACAAGTGTCAGCAATTTCTTTAACACTTTCTACACTGTCACTTCTTATTGCATTAGAGCATTGCTGAATAAAATTTGGAGTTTAGTTTCAAAAGATTTATGTCTATTATCTACACTACCTGAGTCTGCCAGAAGAGTCATGCAGACTCTTGCTTATTTAAAATAATAAATTTGGGCAGACATATGAAAAGCTTATTATTAATTGCCAAAATACAAAGTTTTAATATTTACTGATTCAGAATAAGGTACTCATATAGTGAAATCAAAATATATTTTGAGTTGTTTATACAAAAATGCTACATTTTCAAATTCCTAACTGATACACAGCACAGAACATGGAAATTTCAGGAAATCACCAATGAACAGAACAACAACAGACATCAGAAATAACACGTAAGACAAGGACAGTCTCATTTGGACTGATGCACAAAGCCACAGGTACCTCGAACTGCTGCTGGTTCTGGCTGTTTGGGCACAGTTACAGGTGTAGGCTCTTCCAGAGCACCTTTCTTGGGCACCTTGGGAACTTCAAAGATATTAGTGCATTTTAGTTTTGTGGGCACTGCAGATGGCTATGTAACAATAAAGCAACCAGTAGTAAATGCACGCAGTTTTGTTTGAGAAAATGCTGTGGTTACATTCAGCCATCAGCTCTGCTTTGCTTCTAACCTGTGGAATGACCAGGGTGTCCAAGACACCACACAAGAGTTGGAACTCTGTGTGTGGTCTTTGTTTCTTGGTCAGGGTGGA